TTAAAAAACTAGAAAGACACTGGAATCTACCCCTTTAGAGGACCAGGTCTGAAAACCAAATGCTAAGGGATATTACTGTGTTTTAGATTTGTGCTCCTTTAGGCAGAGTCCAGCAGACATGAGAGACAAGAAGGTTATTTATTGCTTTCTGGGGAGGTCAGTCGATCTAGCAAACACCATATTCCACTCCAGCTCAGCAAAGAGCCTTGTGTGTTCAGTGGCTTATTAAATGCAAAATGTGTACGATCTTTACTGAATAATAAATAGAAGCAAACAACTCCTGAAGTTGACTAGGAAGAGAGCAGAGACAGTGAACATGGGACACAGGCTAAATACAAAATGTGCTGCAAAGCCAGAGACGGCTGTAGGTTGTCCAAACCTGGGGCTCCACACAAAGGTGACCTCTGGACAAGTCGAGCAAAGGGGCTCATAGGGGCACCAGCAGAGTGTACTTGGAAGTCAAACACACTTGCAAGATAACGATGAACATAATTTGTTATTGTCTGCAAGTAATTGGATCTCTACTACACTGAGAATGAATGTAGACCAGGAACAGTCTCTGCTGCTCCGGCGTTCAGCATGCCAATTAGAAGGGGCAGGAGCAGCATCAGAAGGTGCCACTAGGTTTTATGAATGTTTCCCTGTCTCTGGGCAGACACTGGTGGGCCCTGGTGAGGGCATAATGGATGGCAACTAAGTTTCATGCTCTCCTCAGCACAGGAGGTGATGCCCACAAAGCCAAGGGCCAGCAACACATGGGGGTTGGAGAATGGACATTTTCCTTCTGTTCTTAAACCATTCAGTGAACAGCTGGGTACCGAGAAAATGAGCAGGTGATTTCAGATTTACGAAGCTGCATCCTGGCCTCCTAGGCAGAGCCTTTGAGAACAGAAGGTAGGAGGCTGACAGAGATAGGTAGATGTGGGCATCTGAACCAAAACACTAGCTCTGATTACATATGGACCCTGAACCAGCTGCTAGCAAGGGCTGCTGCAGTGCCAGGAAACTGTCCCTCTCTCAGCGTGGAGAAGCCAGGTAAAGACCACCATTTGTTGAAGATTTCTGTTGAATAAGTTAATTCTTGAGAATGTAATTTAAAATTTCTGCTGGCAATATTTCTATATTTGGGATTTACTTCTATAAGCTTCTAGAATTTTTCTGTAGATACTGTTGTCATTCATTGATAACAAATTCATTTCCACTGGTGGTAAGGTCTCCAACCCATGCCCCACTGTTCCCTTCCTGCATAAATAAGAATAAAGATTGGAAGAATTAAAGGCAGGAGATGTGCAAAAATTGTCACACCGAGAAAACAATATCTCATTAATTTTCTAACAACTCCAGTACTTGCAAAGGAGTACAGAACATTTCATTAGCCAGTATAAGCATTACTGGTCACAGATATTTGCTGTCCCTCCCTGAGAGGATTATATTTTCCTACCCATTGATATTAAACTTGGGCATATGACTGCTTTCCAAAATGAAATGAAAGCAGAAATGATGTGTTATGTGTCACTTCTATGCAAAAGATTAAGAGCCCATGCAAGATCTGCCTCTTTTCTCTCTGCAAGGAGATTGTTCTGAACAGAAACTGCTCCTTCGCTATGGGTCCCTGGAACGGAGACGATGTGGAGCACAGATGGATCTGATCTGGAATAGACCCGTAATGTGAATGAGAAAGAAACTTTTGTTACTATAACCCACAGAAATTTGAGGGTCCTTTGTTCTAGTAGTATTACCTGGCCTATACCAAGTAATACAAAGCAGCCTTAAAGGATATATATAGATTTTGTTCTTGAAATATAATATGTGTATATTAATTTAAAAGATTGATGAGAACCATAGCAAAATAACAGTGATTATTTCCTGGGTTGGAGATTAAGATTTTTTTCTACTTTATGCTTTTCTATGATTCCTAAATGGTCTTTAGCTAACAAATATTACATTTCTTATTAAGAAAAACAACAATATTATGTTCTTTAAAAGGCAAGATACCTAGAATGAAAGTTCTGAGTCTCACCACTCACCATTAAGTATGGGACTTTGGCTGACAAGTGTAGCATCTTTAAATGTATCCCTAAGATCTGCATCATTAACCCCAGCTGGTCTCCTGTACCCCTTCATCCTTGCTTCCCCTCAACCCACAGTCTTGCACATATTTTTCCAAGTCGAGACTTGACTGCATTGTCTCGAAGTTCCATCTGCAATGTGGTGGTACACAAAGCTAACACTCACTTAGCACAGGAGAACTTCCATCCTTCTTGGGAGTCCTGTGAGCATGTCCTTCTCTTGTTCCTTATTTGTGAGCATCAGAAGCAAGGGATGTTTTTTTCTAAGGTCTATTCCTTCATTATCAAATGCAAAAAAAAGTCTATCTGTGGATATGAGAATACAGGAAATGCCTCCTTCCTAGAGATTTATCAGGAAATTAATAGTGTATCCTAGAATTAAAACACCTTGGAACCCCTACTTGAAAAGACCAAGAATGAGGCCAGGACCTTCTAATTGTGGTCGGTATTCTGATTCACCCCGATTCCACTTAAAAATCCCTAAAAATTGTGCTAATTTTGTTATTAAATTCCTTCATGACTCAGTCAGGATAAGAAACACTATGTGCAATAATAAACAATCCAAATTCCTTGCTAACTTGTCACTATCACAATAACCTTGGTAACATTCTCACTTATATTATAGGATGATGTGTGTCAAGAGGCTCTCCTGGGTGGCTTTTCTTAAAGCAATGACCCCAAAACCAGATTCCTTTTATCTTGAGATATCTTTTTTTTTTTATTTAACAGCAGCACTATGGTTGCCATAAGAGAGGAAAAGAGTGAGTAATCATACAGGGACTTTTATGCAATACCTGGAAGTGATATACATCATTTAAGCCCAAGCCCACATTCCATTGTTTAGAAAACAATTAGATGCACCAACCAAACTGAAGAGGAAACTGGGAAATGGAATCCTCTCTGTGCTTAAGAAAAAATAAGATTGATAAGAATACAGCAGGTCCCTGACTCTGTTTTATGTTCTAGTTATCAAATATCCATTTCATTCTTTCTCCAACACATAGAACTCACTCACTTATCCCAAGAGGGACAATTCAAAGTTCTATCCATTCACAGAAGCCAAAGCTTGAGTCTCGGATCTTTGGGAGAAGTGCAGACTTCTCCATTAGGTCCAAATGAGACTCTTCCTGACCTGATAACCTGTGAACTGAAAAGAAAAGCTACCTCCCCCCACCACTGCCCCGACCCAACACATGCCCCAACGACAGGAAATACTTCAGGGACAGCCTCAATAAACTCTCCCATTTGGAAGAGCAAGAAGGGAAGTTCCATGTCATTCACAGAACTGTAAGAATTCTGAAGTCCTACTGAGCAAATGCTCTGAAGGACCCCCAACCCTGAAGTGGGGACAGTCCCTCACGATGCTGGGTTCTGTTCTCTGGAGGCAACTCCTCTGCCTGTTGTTCTCCAGGGCCTCTGGCTCTACCCACAGAGGCTCCTCTTGGTTTGATATTCTCCTTGGCTCTGTCTGAGGATGGCCTCATGGGAATTAAACATTTGAAGCCGTCTCCTTCCAGCTTCAGGTATCAATTTTCTTGCCACCCACCTATATCCCCTCTATGCCACTTCCCTTGAAGAACTCAATTTTTGGCTTCAATCCAGAAAACAACAACTGCTCTTGACATTCTGAGCAGGAAACTGTTTAATACAGGGAATTAGAGGACATGCAGCTATTGGAAGATCAAGAGGCAGGAAGACCACTTTCAGGAAATCCAGAAATGCAGGGTGGGAAGCCACCATCACCAGTCATAGCTTCTGTAGCAAAAACATAGTTGATTCTCAGAAAGACCTGCAATGCAGCTGGAGGTCACTGCCAATGATCTCAGCTGCCTGTAGCACAGAAGTGGATTATTCTTAGGAAGATGTTCTAAGGTAAGCCATCAGCAAAATCCTGCATCAGGGGTCTGTTCATGCTTATACACAGATAATAGCTCCTTTCCTTCTGCCTTCCAAACATTCAGATAGTGCCTCCTTTGGTGGAATCTAACAAAAACTCTTCTGACAATAGTGTCTAGGAAATGTAGTTTCCTTGTTTTATCACTCTGCAGTTCAGAGAAGATGTGGCAATCATATTGAAAACCGAAAATAATATGTTGCATACTGAAGTTCCCAGAAATTATTAAAAGTCATTGCCATTTTGACCATTATCCTTTTTCCGCCCCCTGTGTCAGCCTGGTAGGTGGCTTCGACACTGAATATGAGCACAAAACAAATCATTTGAGGACAATACAGTGAAAAAAATAAAGATTCCTTCAGGGTCGAAAACTTTGTGTCTCTGACCCAGGAACCTCAAATAAACCTGACCACTGATAAACATTATTGTCAAGTGGGAAAACAAAATGATGGGGAGTGAGCACAGTGAGGTCCAGCCGGGAGTCTGCTACCAGCATCCTACCTGAAAGAAGGTTATGTGCCTTCTTTAGACACCATTTTGTTCTCATCTGGAATAAAGGGATTAGACTAGATAAGTGGTTTCTAGACTTTCTTATTGCTTTGGGGCCCTTCTTCAGATGAAATATTATAAGAAGTTCCAAACTGCAATAGATAACAAAGGAGATACTTGTTTGTAGCATGATGGAGACCTGGAGCCCAGTATTTCCTGTGGCAGCTCCACATAACCACTTAAGCTCCAGGGGCACAGTCTGTAAAATTCCTAGATAAGACTATCTGTAAAATATCCTATCTGCTTCTAAAGTCATATGTCATAATCACTTTCCAAGCCTTGACTGTTGGAGGTAATGCCAAATGTTCATTTAAAAATACATGTTCAGCAAGCTCTAAGACTAATTTGTATTTATAGGCATACTCAATATAAAATGGGTGATTTTATTACAGACTCCTGCCTATTAAAGTGAGCAGGTTCAATATTTTGAAAGCATTCTGTTTGTGACCCCAAACTCAGATCCCAAATGCTGTATGACTTACTTACAGATTTGATGTGTCGTCATTCAAATGATATTCTGATAGCTGGAATAACGCCACAGGAGAATGCCCATAAGCCCTGTAAAAGAAAAGTGAACAGGTGCTGCTTAGGGGACAGCAATTAGACTTAACCAGAACCCACTGACATTGTCATAAAACCAAGATTATTTCCAAGGCAGCGTGGGCAAGGGGGAGAGAAGAATTCCATAGCATTCACCAGAACTTCTCAGATATATTAAGTGGAAGACCAGCCATGGTTAGGGTCCACTTGGAGTAATTTAAAATATAGTAAATGCAAGAAAACAGAGGGAATAGAAATGTATGATTAGTAGAGCTTTTTTGACATTTCTGTCTTTTTGACCATTTTCAATTGAGCTTTCATGTCTTTTTGTTCCCTACACAATAACCTTATTTATTAGAGCCACTGCAAAGGCCAGATCACTAAGTCTGCCACAGAGAGCTAAAGTAGAAGCAGCCCATTGCAGCAACATCAGGGAGCCCAGGAAGGTCTATGTTTTATTATAGTCTTAGTCTGTTTGAGATATTATAACAAAAATACCAAAGACCAGATGGCTTATAAACAGTAGAAATTTATTTCTCAGAGTTATGGAGGCTGGGAAGTCCAAGATCAAAGTGCCAGAAGATTTGGTGTCTGGTGAGAGCCTGCTTCCTGCTTCCTAGATAGCCATCTTTTTGCTGTGTCCTCACATGGAAGAAGTGACAAGGGAGTTTTCTGGGGTCTCTTTTATAAGGGCACTAATACCATTCATGAGGGCTCCCCCCTCATGACCTAAACACTTCCCAGAAAACCCACCTTCAAATACCAACACTTTAAGGGTTAGGTTTCAACATAGGAATTCTGGGGTGGCACAAACATTCAATCTACAGCAGAGCCATGTCCTGAGGACCATGAGTTTCTAGCAGCTGTGACATGTCCCCCTGAAGCTTCAGAACCTGGGATAACCATACACTTGGCCCCTCAATCTCTCTCATTTCTTTCTGAGGTGAACATGTGGTCACAGATCTGCAAAGCACCAGAAGCAGTGTGGCTCTTTTGTATAACCGTGATTCTAAATGTGCCTCTCTAGATCCTCTACTTCCTCAAAGATCAGCTCAAACCACGTTTCTTTTTTGATTCTGTCCCTGACCACCAAAAGCATGCTGCCTTCTCTCTTACCTTACTGCCTCTGTGACTTAGTTAGAAGTTGTTAAGGGTTGACCCTCTCTAGGTGTAGATCCTCTCCTCTCAGCAGAAGAAAATGAAAAGCTTACAGACTTTGATGTCATAGCATATCAGGATTTGAATCTAGGCTCTGCCCCTTTCTAACTTATGACCCTCATGTCACCACAAGCCTTGCTTTTCTCATGTGTAAAAGGGAGATGATTATTCCAACACCTCCCAAGAAGTATTAGCATAATTCTTCACATGTAGTAGCTACTCAATAAACACAAGTTACCTTCTTACCTTCCCCCTTTCCCTGACAAATTCCATGTGTTTGTATCCAGGACACTTTTTACCCTGTAGACAGTTGTTAATTCTTTGTTGTTGATAATGATTCTGAGAACAGGGTATCTAAAGCAGAGATGAGGAAGGCTTGTGGCAATAGAGGATAAATATACTAGTCTTTATCTTTTTCATCCTCCTTTGAGATCTTTACAATAGAAGACCCATGAGCTTCCTCTGGTAGGATTCCTGGTTGAATAATCATGGAAGCTGTTGCAGACGTCATGTATTTTTCAAGGCCCCTGTGTGAGTTGGCCTACATTTAAGGGGAATCGGTAACCTGACCATTATCAGTGAACACAAACCACAAGTGAATGCAGGTTTTTTATTTTTGGTTATTTACAATACTACCTCAAATTTCCAAGTCTCTGCTCTTTTTCTATTATGTTGGTGAAATATAACAATGAGGTATTTTTTTTTAATATGACCAAGTAACACCTTGATGAAATAAAAGCATGACTCAGAATTTCCCTCACTTCAAACTTGTTTTCCTTTTGGAATAAAACTACCAATCCAGGATCCTACAGTACCATAAATGTCTAGAGACATCTCTGAGCAAAGTAATTCAATTATCAAATAAGACTGGAAAAAGTAATTTTTGTTCACAGGTTTCTTCTGATAGGATTCCTGACTGAGCAGTCATAGAAGCCACATCTTTTTAAGACCTCTCAGACTTGGTCTACATTTAACTTATGGAATTCTGAGTATTCATGTTTAATTTAGTTTTATACAGAGTTGGTTTTGTTGTTTATTGTTTTGTTCATTTGGGGTTGTTCCAGAAGATCTGTTAACACATGCAGACATTGGGTGTCCACTGGAACACAAAGAGAAGTTGATCTGGCCCAAACCCCTCATTTTAGAGGCGAAGTCATTGAGACTCAGAGATGTTGTCTACCTAGAAACAGAAAATCTGAGTTCCAGATTCCTAGTGCTCTTCCTTGTCTCCCACAATCTCCTTGTGACTAGATGTGGATCTCATCAGAGTTTCCTCCTTTCCTTTGTTACTTTTCTGTTGTATCATTCTCTTTGTACATGCGCATGCACACACACACCACAGAACAGAGGAATGCCCTCTTGAGGCTCTCTCGCCCTTATGTGGAAAGTAATGCAGGCATTCACCCCACAGAACTGGAAACAGACAATAACATGTGAGGAGTACTGTAAAGGCAATATGATCAGAGGACAGCATGCCTGATTCCACTCAGGAACTGGCTGTGATAATTCACTCCTTCATTCATTTATCCCACAAAGGTTTCCTGAATGTCTGCTGTGCCAAACTATGCTAGGTGCTGTGGATACACAAATCAGTGAGACCCAATCTCTGCCTTCAAGCTGCTTACATTCTAGTGAAACAGGCCTGCGATAGATGAATGTAATGAAATTATGAAGCTACTCTGAGAGAAGCTTACTTTCTACCTGGGACATAGGAAATCAGAGAAAAGTGTTTCAGGCAATAATATTTTGAGCAACTCCAAGTCAAAAGTCATATGTTGACTGTTTCCCAAAGCACTTGAAAATCATGTCTTAAGAGCTGGAAGTGTCTCAAGTTTCAATTGTTCAAGTTAATCAGAGTAGCAGCACAGATAATACAAAGTAGGGGCTAAGAAAAAGCCAGTTGTCTGCTTTAGCATGTATCATATGAATAACCACCTCCTCCTCCTCTCAGCTCCCCCCCGCCAGCCCTCCCCCGGCTGCCCAGCAAGAACAGCTTGCCTTGCTAATTGTGTTTTCTTAAAGCAAATGCTAACATTGGTTTATATCCCTTGAGCACGCACCAGCTGGATAGTAGGAAGAAGCCAGTTCAGCACTAAAAACTGACCGCAGATAATTTAGAGGGCAAACAAGGCACAAGCAGATAGATAACAGAGTGGAATATATCATTATTTATAACCAGCGAGAAGCTGTCCCTGCCCACCCTGCAGCACCATCTCCCATCTCTGCTGAGGTTGTAGTCCTGTTACAAGTCTCAATAGAGCCTTTTTATGAATACATCAGTAGGAGCATAAACAAGGTCACGTGAAATTTAGAGGACGTTAATGAGACCTATGTAAATTCAGACAGCCTGGAATGCTGTTATTAGATCATTTTCAAGTGAATAAAACCTGAAATTTGCTTTTCACTTTGCAAATCATCTTACCAGCAACTGCCCACTGTAAGCGCTCTCCAAAGCCCGTAAAGCAATGGGCCTAGAAAGGATGTTTCAACGGACTAGCTGAATCAAATTAAACTGCTGTTTACTTTTGCCATACAAGCTCTGACAAATAAAATGGAAGATGCTGTTGCCATTTCATTGACTAAAACAAATCTTTGTGGGAGAAAAAGAGGAGAAAGAAACTAAAATGTCAGCGGCTGACACTGTCATTCCTTGCCACTCAGTAAATAAACATAACATCTATTAGTTGTCATGGAAACCTTCCACCTCATTCCAAGCATCAAAGCTCAAGAATAAAGACACCCTGATATTTGCGGCTGGGCACAAACAACTCTTTTGGCATTTCTCATGAGCTCACCAGCACAAGAGCCATTTTCCCTGTTTGTTTTCTTTCTTAGGCACGAATGCATTTGCTTTAGAAAAAGAGACGTGTATCTTAGAAACCTACCAAAAATATTTGAATACAGCTACCTCGCCAACCTTGGCTTCCTCCACTACCTCCCCTTTTAAATTTTGCCTGAGAAGAATTTAAATGGCATGTTTAGTCATTACACGTTGTGCTTCCTGTACCCGATGCTGCATTAAAGGGATTGATTTAAATCATTTACAGTAACCGTGTAGTGGGGAGGGTCCACTTTTCAGCACCAAATGCTCTTGGATCCGTAATAAGCAGTCACAAATACAGACAACAAATGATTGTGCTTGTTTTTGTGTCTTCTTATGTAAAGAATTATTCCTTAGTAGAGACTCACTGCATACTTTCAGTATTCAACAAGAAAGCAGCTCAGATATGCAAGCAGAGATGAAGGATGCTTGACCCTCCAACTTTCAGGTAACCTGTCTCAGAAGTGTTGGCTAAAAAAAATCCAAGAATGTTCCCATTATAATTTTTTTTAAATCATGGAATTTATAACCCCTCACAAGCAGGAATGGACCAAGTGTAAAGGTTACAGCTGAGAGCTACTAAAACTTTAGGGGCAACCATTGTTAATAACGATCAGCTAGAAGCAGAACACAGCTCAGCCTTCAGAGCATCACTCAAACATGCAGAATTTCTAAAGCCCTAGAGCCTTTGACAAGCTAGGCATAAATCAGGGGGGATTTAATCCTGATTTTCTGGCATTTTGCAAGCTATAAATCCCACACATTCCTAAAACCACATTGTCCTATAATCAGAGCTGAGGGCCAGAGTGGGTTCCAACTACAGCTCAAGTAGAACTGGGATGAGGACACCTGCTTCCCTCCAGGCTTTCAAACAATTCTTTCTGAAGGACAGTTAAAGATTTTTTTAAAGCCTTCTGAAGTGAGGCCAAGGGGGGATTACATTTATCCCAACACACTACCAGACTTTTCGCATCTTTGGATGTAACCATCTCTGGATTTCTCTAGAAGATCCTATTATTGCATGTCTATATATGCAAAA